GTTGGCCTCAGATTGGAGGCTTATTACAGATGTCGTATTACTAGAAATTATTAATTAATTGGATATAGTGGAGAGTGAAGTGGCTCAGATAAGAGGAAGTGGGGAATTGACCGACTTGAAGCCCTCACAAGAAGTCAGTTCAGTGCAGCCCAGGCTGAGGCCTCAGACATTCAGAAGCAGAACACAGGCCTAGTGTTCTGATAGGTAGCATTATGTGCTGGTGTGTTTTGTTAGATTTTTGTCCTTCATGCATTTAAGGAATGGATTCCTCCTTCTTCCTTTCCTTCCTTCCTCCTTTCCTTTCTTCTTTTCTTTCTTTGTTTTGTTTTTTTAATTGTCCCTGATAAGAGAAGTAACCTACAGATTAAACTAAATTTTAGCCCTGTCATTGCATAAAATTATGGCTTAAAATGTTTTAATGACCATCATCAAGGCAAATAATTCTAAATATTTAGAGACACTCCAGTATTATGTATCTGATATATTATTGTCTTACCATATGCTTTTTTTCCCCTACTTGATCCACATTCCATAGGTTTCTACTTTCAAGGCAAATTCAAGGAACCAAGGATATTTATGTCAGTTTTCCAGAGAAAATTTCCATAGAAACGTTTAATCTAAACTTCCTTCCTTGATTTTATGGTACATAAAAAGTATAAGGTTATGAACAAGTTTATCATATTTCCTTAGGGAAGGAGCAATCAACTGTGCCAAGGGCTACATAGATATGACATCTCAGTGACTCTGTTGGATTGAGAAACGTTGAATCATTAATAACGTTCTGCAAATCATTTTCTGTAGAATGACGGGGGCAGAATTCTGATTGTAACAGATTGATGAGTAAATGAGGTGGCCAAGTGATTATAAACCAGTCTTTGAGAGGACTTGGCTGTAGAGGAAGGAGAGAGAGAATGATAGTTAATAGAAGGCAACTCAGGGTCAGAGAGAGTGTTTTTGAAGGCAGAGATGACTTGAGCTGATGTATGGACTGCAGTGATAGAACAAGTACAGGCAAAAAGTCTGAACATATGTTAGTTAGTGTATCAGGTTTTTGTTCTAGAAGATCTAGTGTGGTGGGGATGAAATCATGAATATAGTAAGGAGCTGAACCTGATATTGTCAAATTAAAGAGAAATTGTTTACCTGCCAGACACATGAAGGAAGTCAGGAAGCTGGTCTAAGAGGGCTGTTATATTCAATGTCTCTTCTTCCAATTGTTTCTATAGGTGTTCATGAAAACTGAACTCATGAAGGAAGTCAGAGTTTGCTGCAGATGCAGCCCTGGGTCTTCAGCTGTGTACTACAGAAACAGAAGGTAAATACAACCACGGATGGGAACAGGGAAGGAAGAGAGCCATTTTGGGAAATGGGACTGTAAAGTTTATGGTGATAATTATTCTCAAACATTTTCAGAAGCAATGGAACAAAGTATGCAAAGAAAATGAGCTTATTTTCTAAAATGCATGTTTTTAATCTTGCAATTTCCCCTTGCTAATGTCATTCAAAGTGTGTCATCTAAACTTCTGTATTTTGAAAATACAGGGACTGCATCATGTGTATGGAGTACTACTCATCCCTCCAGCAGCAAACAAGTTAATGAACTCTCCAGGTTTTAGTGAAGCAGGTTGTTACTTTACACCAGCTTCCTAACTTCTCTAAATTCTACCTAAGATGTACACGTTGATCATTCTAACATCCACCCTCTTCCCAAAAAACAACAGAAATGAACTCAGAGCTCTCAATATTAATCCTAAATATGGCTCTGCCTCACCTCTATCTGCTACACACAGACTTAGCAAGGTTTAGTTTTTCAGACCTTCTTTTTGGTGGCTGATTTCCTAAAGTCCAAAGGACAACTGTCTGGGGCCTGAGAGCTAAGATGATGAACATGCAGATATCAAGGAAATGGTTTCTTACAGCAACAACTGTATTTAGACCTGAGCATTTCCTCATTCTTGTCTGACTGTACAGCTTCATAAGTTGCAATTTGTGCTAAATTAAGACATGTTCTTTCTTACCAGTGGGGGTGGTTAGGGCTAACGTATTTAGCCTGGTTTAATTTAAACAAGGCAAGATCTAATTAAAGTAATCTCTAGATTCCAGTAGTTTGACATTTCAAGTGTGCATCTTGTAGAAAAACAAAGCATACAGATATTTGTAAATTAAACCAATGGAAAATATTAAAACTTTTTTTAGTATTCAAAGAAGACTTGTTTTTATTTCTGGGCAATGATGCTTTCTGTTTTAGCCACTATTTCCTCATTAATCTGAGAAAAGTAGAGCATTCTGTCTTCTCTAGAAGCTGGGCTTTCTATTAAGAGTATGCTACCATTCTGCATAGTAAAACAGGAATTACCGTTGACTGGTTGACTGATTTCTTTCTCTTAGTGTCTGCTTGACAAACATTTGGGCTTCATAAAATTGGTTGAATCTTTATGGTCCAAGTGAATTATAAGATGAAGCAATTAACCACTTAATGTAAACTATGTTAACAGTCATTCCAAGTAATTCTAACATTGGGCACTTTCACATCCTGACTTATTGATGAAGACAAATCTACAAAGTCGAATATTGGTGATAAACAAATGATAAGCTGGGTCATTTGAGACATGAAGTGGATGGTTCAGTTTCAACATAGAGTATTTGTAATCCCTCTGGATGACTTACATTAATGTTGTTAATGGCTAAACTAGTAGTTTTTGATAATTTCCAACTTGCAATACTATAATGTTGTTTGATTTTATGACATCCTCTGTCACTTCTCTCTTCTATATAGCATTTTTTCATTTTAATAAGTGACCTTATGTTTAGCTAAACAACTACATCCACTTGCAGATTTATTTTTTTCCTCTGAATTACCTAAAAATTTTCCAAATGCCTTAATGGTAGTTTGGGAATCATTTCATGAGAAATGAGAGAGTTATAAGGAACTCTAGGGAGCATCTGGTCTACCCCTTATTTTAGAGAAAAGGAAACTAAGGCTAAGGGGGGTAAGGTGAACCGCCTAAAGTCAAACAGTAGTTATGTGTTGTGGTAGACCAACTACAAAATGGTTGTAATTGTTCTTACCACTTCTGTGCACAAATACATTGCAATATGATTTTGCCACTTCTTCCATTAAAAGGAGGCATCTACTTCCCTATGCCTTAAATCTGGGCTTGCATTGTGCCTTCCTTTGGCTGAAAGAGTACAGAAGAAATAAGGGTGCCAGTTAGGCAGCAATAGATAACTAATACATAATTTTTTATTTTTACCTTAAATTCCCAGAGTATTCCAGAAAATCAGCAGTACTCAGAGAGACTTTTTTTTTTCTCATTTGCTACCTCCAGCTACTTGGCAAATTTTCAAATGTTTGCATTCTTTGCTTATATGTTGTGTAATTTCTTTTACATCTTCTACCTCATGAAGCTTTCTAAGTGTATTCTTTCCTTTTATGTTTTTGAGTTTTAAGGAACATCTTCGGCTGAGGTGGAATTTTTTACTATGCTTTTGGGCATCACTTATGGCACAAAGTTTGAATCCACTTAACAGCTTCCAGCACATTTATTTTTTTGGCAGGCAGGTGATGCTGTCAGCTATGTCCATACCAGCTGGCAAATTGCAGCAAGAAAGTAAGCCTTGGAATGAATGAAAAAAACATCTTTAACCAAGGGGGAGGTCAACTAGCTGTGTTTGATTAATTTCAGTTCTTTGTTATCTGAAGCCATGCCCATTAGCATAAGACATTATCATATTTGCAGCCTGAATAGAATTGTACTATCTGAAATCCCCTATTTATTTTGGATGATTTACTCATTCTTTTCTAAGGGACAGTATGCTATAATAAAATGAACACTAACTTTATTATGATTGGAAACCTGAGTTCAAATTCTAGCTCATCTAACCCATTAGCTTTGGAACTTTGGGCAACTTGAACTTAAATTCAATTTTAGTTTTAGTTTCCAATTAACCTTATTTTTTTTTAAGAACAAGGTGAAGTAATGTAAAGCATTTTATAAGCTGTAAACTCTACTCTTTACTTCTCTTCTGAGCTCTACACACTTACAAATGCCTATTGGACATTCTTCTGGATGTCCCATGTCTAAGATCCATCTCAAAACGCACTACTCATGTTTCATTTTCTCGTGACTTCCATAAGTCTATTAAATGGTATTAACATTTTGCTGGATACCCAGGTTTCAAATCTCCAAATAAGTTTTTGATGCCTCTGTCTCATTTACCCCACTTGTTTACTTTTAAGCATAAAAGGCATTCATTTGTTGATTAATTTATATACCTGGAAAGTGCTAGTTAATCACCTGCTCTGTTTCCTATTGCTGCACACCTTTCCTTCTTACAGTCCCGTCTCTGTGTTTCAGATCAGACTTTGCTCCATCTAATCTATTTAACTCTGCTTCTCATGACTTGGCATCCATCTTGAATCTCTCAGCCTAGACCTTGACTGGATTTTATTGCTTCTCTTATAGTCTTCTCTCCAGCCCCAGTGTCTCTCGTCTTTGGTAAGAAGAATACCTTGTTTCCAGTTTCTGGTCCCTCTTTAGGACCTGCTTTCTTACCCCCCAGTGCCAGCTGTGTCACTCAGTCAATTTGTTCCCATCCCCTTCTCCCTGATGGAAGAAGAGACTCAGACACTCTAATGACACTGAGGGTGCTACTAATTGTAACAAATACATCCTCATTCATAAAATGAGAGAGATGCTGACTCCCTCACTAGGTCATTGTGAAAGGAGAGAACATATGATTGGCACCAAGGAAGCACTCATAGCCTGAGTTCTCCCCAAAGGCCTGGATATGACTGCAGAACAGCAAATACAATGATCCTCATCTGACAATTCAAAATAACAGCAACTTACACACTTCTCATGGTGACTATGTGGTCAGGTATAAAACTATCAAATCACAATGTTGCACACATAAAACTAATATAAAATAGAAGGAAGTCAGGAAGCTGGTCTAAGAGGGCTGTTATATTCAATGTCTCTTCTTCCAATTGTTTCTATAGGTGTTCATGAAAACTGAACTCATGAAGGAAGTCAGAGTTTGCTGCAGATGCAGCCCTGGGTCTTCAGCTGTGTACTACAGAAACAGAAGGTAAATACAACCACGGATGGGAACAGGGAAGGAAGAGAGCCATTTTGGGAAATGGGACTGTAAAGTTTATGGTGATAATTATTCTCAAACATTTTCAGAAGCAATGGAACAAAGTATGCAAAGAAAATGAGCTTATTTTCTAAAATGCATGTTTTTAATCTTGCAATTTCCCCTTGCTAATGTCATTCAAAGTGTGTCATCTAAACTTCTGTATTTTGAAAATACAGGGACTGCATCATGTGTATGGAGTACTACTCATCCCTCCAGCAGCAAACAAGTTAATGAACTCTCCAGGTTTTAGTGAAGCAGGTTGTTACTTTACACCAGCTTCCTAACTTCTCTAAATTCTACCTAAGATGTACACGTTGATCATTCTAACATCCACCCTCTTCCCAAAAAACAACAGAAATGAACTCAGAGCTCTCAATATTAATCCTAAATATGGCTCTGCCTCACCTCTATCTGCTACACACAGACTTAGCAAGGTTTAGTTTTTCAGACCTTCTTTTTGGTGGCTGATTTCCTAAAGTCCAAAGGACAACTGTCTGGGGCCTGAGAGCTAAGATGATGAACATGCAGATATCAAGGAAATGGTTTCTTACAGCAACAACTGTATTTAGACCTGAGCATTTCCTCATTCTTGTCTGACTGTACAGCTTCATAAGTTGCAATTTGTGCTAAATTAAGACATGTTCTTTCTTACCAGTGGGGGTGGTTAGGGCTAACGTATTTAGCCTGGTTTAATTTAAACAAGGCAAGATCTAATTAAAGTAATCTCTAGATTCCAGTAGTTTGACATTTCAAGTGTGCATCTTGTAGAAAAACAAAGCATACAGATATTTGTAAATTAAACCAATGGAAAATATTAAAACTTTTTTTAGTATTCAAAGAAGACTTGTTTTTATTTCTGGGCAATGATGCTTTCTGTTTTAGCCACTATTTCCTCATTAATCTGAGAAAAGTAGAGCATTCTGTCTTCTCTAGAAGCTGGGCTTTCTATTAAGAGTATGCTACCATTCTGCATAGTAAAACAGGAATTACCGTTGACTGGTTGACTGATTTCTTTCTCTTAGTGTCTGCTTGACAAACATTTGGGCTTCATAAAATTGGTTGAATCTTTATGGTCCAAGTGAATTATAAGATGAAGCAATTAACCACTTAATGTAAACTATGTTAACAGTCATTCCAAGTAATTCTAACATTGGGCACTTTCACATCCTGACTTATTGATGAAGACAAATCTACAAAGTCGAATATTGGTGATAAACAAATGATAAGCTGGGTCATTTGAGACATGAAGTGGATGGTTCAGTTTCAACATAGAGTATTTGTAATCCCTCTGGATGACTTACATTAATGTTGTTAATGGCTAAACTAGTAGTTTTTGATAATTTCCAACTTGCAATACTATAATGTTGTTTGATTTTATGACATCCTCTGTCACTTCTCTCTTCTATATAGCATTTTTTCATTTTAATAAGTGACCTTATGTTTAGCTAAACAACTACATCCACTTGCAGATTTATTTTTTTCCTCTGAATTACCTAAAAATTTTCCAAATGCCTTAATGGTAGTTTGGGAATCATTTCATGAGAAATGAGAGAGTTATAAGGAACTCTAGGGAGCATCTGGTCTACCCCTTATTTTAGAGAAAAGGAAACTAAGGCTAAGGGGGGTAAGGTGAACCGCCTAAAGTCAAACAGTAGTTATGTGTTGTGGTAGACCAACTACAAAATGGTTGTAATTGTTCTTACCACTTCTGTGCACAAATACATTGCAATATGATTTTGCCACTTCTTCCATTAAAAGGAGGCATCTACTTCCCTATGCCTTAAATCTGGGCTTGCATTGTGCCTTCCTTTGGCTGAAAGAGTACAGAAGAAATAAGGGTGCCAGTTAGGCAGCAATAGATAACTAATACATAATTTTTTATTTTTACCTTAAATTCCCAGAGTATTCCAGAAAATCAGCAGTACTCAGAGAGACTTTTTTTTTTCTCATTTGCTACCTCCAGCTACTTGGCAAATTTTCAAATGTTTGCATTCTTTGCTTATATGTTGTGTAATTTCTTTTACATCTTCTACCTCATGAAGCTTTCTAAGTGTATTCTTTCCTTTTATGTTTTTGAGTTTTAAGGAACATCTTCGGCTGAGGTGGAATTTTTTACTATGCTTTTGGGCATCACTTATGGCACAAAGTTTGAATCCACTTAACAGCTTCCAGCACATTTATTTTTTTGGCAGGCAGGTGATGCTGTCAGCTATGTCCATACCAGCTGGCAAATTGCAGCAAGAAAGTAAGCCTTGGAATGAATGAAAAAAACATCTTTAACCAAGGGGGAGGTCAACTAGCTGTGTTTGATTAATTTCAGTTCTTTGTTATCTGAAGCCATGCCCATTAGCATAAGACATTATCATATTTGCAGCCTGAATAGAATTGTACTATCTGAAATCCCCTATTTATTTTGGATGATTTACTCATTCTTTTCTAAGGGACAGTATGCTATAATAAAATGAACACTAACTTTATTATGATTGGAAACCTGAGTTCAAATTCTAGCTCATCTAACCCATTAGCTTTGGAACTTTGGGCAACTTGAACTTAAATTCAATTTTAGTTTTAGTTTCCAATTAACCTTATTTTTTTTTAAGAACAAGGTGAAGTAATGTAAAGCATTTTATAAGCTGTAAACTCTACTCTTTACTTCTCTTCTGAGCTCTACACACTTACAAATGCCTATTGGACATTCTTCTGGATGTCCCATGTCTAAGATCCATCTCAAAACGCACTACTCATGTTTCATTTTCTCGTGACTTCCATAAGTCTATTAAATGGTATTAACATTTTGCTGGATACCCAGGTTTCAAATCTCCAAATAAGTTTTTGATGCCTCTGTCTCATTTACCCCACTTGTTTACTTTTAAGCATAAAAGGCATTCATTTGTTGATTAATTTATATACCTGGAAAGTGCTAGTTAATCACCTGCTCTGTTTCCTATTGCTGCACACCTTTCCTTCTTACAGTCCCGTCTCTGTGTTTCAGATCAGACTTTGCTCCATCTAATCTATTTAACTCTGCTTCTCATGACTTGGCATCCATCTTGAATCTCTCAGCCTAGACCTTGACTGGATTTTATTGCTTCTCTTATAGTCTTCTCTCCAGCCCCAGTGTCTCTCGTCTTTGGTAAGAAGAATACCTTGTTTCCAGTTTCTGGTCCCTCTTTAGGACCTGCTTTCTTACCCCCCAGTGCCAGCTGTGTCACTCAGTCAATTTGTTCCCATCCCCTTCTCCCTGATGGAAGAAGAGACTCAGACACTCTAATGACACTGAGGGTGCTACTAATTGTAACAAATACATCCTCATTCATAAAATGAGAGAGATGCTGACTCCCTCACTAGGTCATTGTGAAAGGAGAGAACATATGATTGGCACCAAGGAAGCACTCATAGCCTGAGTTCTCCCCAAAGGCCTGGATATGACTGCAGAACAGCAAATACAATGATCCTCATCTGACAATTCAAAATAACAGCAACTTACACACTTCTCATGGTGACTATGTGGTCAGGTATAAAACTATCAAATCACAATGTTGCACACATAAAACTAATATAAAATCGTATATCAACATAATTAAATAAAAATAAATAAAAGCAGCTTAGAATGTAATTAGGGAGATGAGAATGAAGTGTTTAGTATGACTTGTGTATATAGATGAAATGTGAAATTCAGTGTAGGTGGGTGAGTACAAACTGAAAACGTAAGTATGAAATAGGATTAGTCAAAGAAGACAAGCAGGCAGTGACTCGTAAAGAAACTAATGGATGGGAACTGGTGAAAGGAGAGTGGGAGAGTATTTCAGGTATGGAGAATTACATGGGAAAATGCTCGAAAACAAAACAGAGTGTGATATTGTGGTGCTGGCCTAAATGGAGAGCACGGATTTTTAAGTTGAAGAGGTGGAGAGACACCAGAGACTGCAGACATACATTCTTGTCCCAGTAACAGAGAAATATGTACGAGCCAATGTTTCTAATTTATCTAAACTTTATTTCCAAAAGCTTTGCATTTTGTTGCCTTCTTCATAAAGTCAAGTTAGGTACTTAATATACTTGTAAATCCTTTGATATTAAATAAAACAAATGGTCTCTAAACCCACTTATGAATGCATTACTTTAAATGTAAAACAGTATTTGTGGAGAGCACATTTGGCTGCATTTAAGCAACCATCCATTCTTCCAAGGGAGATTCCTCATGTTTTATTTATGAACATTAATTGCCTTCCCTTTCTGCATGAATTGGGCTAGAAAATCAAAATGAAAAAGTCTTTGGGTGTGTCTAATCCAGGCTTTGCATATTTCACATATGAGGAGCAGAGAGAAGGACGTAAATATATTTCACAAGATCAAAGCTAGTCTGTGGTCAAGATGAAACTTAAACTTCTCTCTAGATTTTCAATTTGATTCTTTAAAAAATATACTGAATGACATAGGATAGCCAAGACAGTATTAAAGAAAAGGAGCAAAATTGAAGTACATCCTCCACCAGAGAGCAAAACTGGCTCTAAAGCTATAGCAATTAAGAAAGTGTAATGTTGAAACAAAGATAAACCAATGGAATATGATAGAGATTCCAGAAACATATCCACACTGGGGCTGTGCCTTGATATGGCAAGGATAGCACTGCACTTCCATAGAGGATCATTGGTCTTCTCAATAAATAGTGCTGGGCTAATTGCATTATCAATGATAAACAAGAAAATCCCTGACTCCTTCCTCATACTAAATACTGATATTAGTTTGCGATGGATCACAGACATTGCATATAAAAGCTAAGTCAATCAAGCTTCTAGAATAAAATAAGAATATCCTCATGACTTCGAAAAAGGTAAAGATTTCTGAACTTAGACTCAAAAGCCACTAAAAGGCACAAAAAAGAAAGATGAATGAGTAATTAAGTTTAATTATTTAATAAATAATTTTAAAATGTTCATTAAGTGATA